CGTCGGGGGTGAGTGTGCCCTCGGCACCGACGTCCTTGAGGACAGGCAGGAGGAGTTCCAGTGTCTGGCCGCCGCTTCACCTCATCTCGCGTCTGTACTGCTAGCCCCTGAGGGAGACCCGGATGCACCAGACATCCCGACTCCGCGCTCTTACGTGGAGGCGATAGAGGGTCCCTACTCCTCTCAGTGGCAGGCAGCTATGGATGCTGAGATGGCTTCCTGGAAGTCCACAGGCACCTACGTCGACGCTGTTCCCCCTCCTGGGGCGAACATCGTCAGTGGCATGTGGATTTTCAGGGTGAAGCGGCCGCCGAGTTCTCCGCCTGTCTTCAAGGCGCGGTACGTGGCTCGTGGCTTCAGTCAGCGGCAGGGAGTTGACTACTTTCAGACCTTCTCCCCCACCCCGAAGATGACCACGCTTTGGGTACTGCTGCACGTTGCTGCTCACCGTGACTACGAGCTGCACACTCTCGACTTCAGCACAGCTTTCTTGCAGGGCAGCCTGCACAAGGAGATCTGGCTGCGTCGCCCACCTGGCTTCACTGGGTCTTTCCCTCCTGGTACCCAGTGGAGTCTCCGGCGTCCAGTCTACGGTCTCCGCCAGGCGCCACGTGAGTGGCATGACACACTGAGGACTACGCTGGCGGCACTTGGGTTTGCTCCTTCTACTGCCGACCCGTCGCTGTTTTTGCGCACCGACACCTCTCTGCCGCCGTTCTACATCCTCGTGTACGTCGTCGACTTGGTCTTTGCCACAGCTGACACTGCTGGACTCGCCTACGTGAAGTCCGAGCTGCAGAAGAGACACACGTGCACTGACCTGGGTGAACTGCGCATCTGTCTTGGCTTGCAGATCACTTGGGATAGAGCACGCCGCACCATTACCCTGACTCAGTCACACATGGTGCAGCAGGTCCTTCAGCGCTTCGGCTTCACGTACTCCTCGCCTCAGGCCACTCCTCTGCCTACTCGCCACTCGCTCTCAGCTCTGCCTTCGGATGAGTCCGTAGAGTCGAGTGGCTCGTATGCAGAGCTTGTTGGCTGCCTCATGTACCTGATGACCTTCACACGACCTGACCTTGCATACCTTCTTAGCATTCTCGCACGCTATGTTTCTCCTGGGAGACACCGACCAGAGCACATGGCTGCAGCGAAGAGGGTGTTGCGCTACTTGTGCAGTACGTCGGGCATGGGGCTAGTGCTTGGAGGGCGCAGTCCAGTGGTCCTCACTGGGCACGCGGACGCTTCTTGGGCTGACGACCAGGCTACGCAGCGGTCGTCACAGGGTTACACCTTCAGCCTTGGTTCCGGCTCTGTTTTGTGGCGGGCTACCCGCTCGTCTTTTGTTCTCGGCTCTAGTTGTGAGGCTGAGATCTACGCCGGGGCTATGGCTGCACAGGAGTTACGCTGGCTCACCTACCTGTTGACCGACCTTGGAGAGCCGCCTCGTTCTCCTCCAGTCCTGTACGTAGACAATAAGGCCATGCTGGCCTTGTGTCGAGAGCAGCGACTGGAGCACAGGACAAAGCACATTGCTCTCCGCTACTTTCTTGCTCGTGAGCTACAGCAGCGTGGACAGTTGCGACTTGCGTACGTGGCCTCTGAGGCCAACACTGCTGATGTCTTCACCAAGGCACTTGCGCCTTGTGATCATCAGCGTTGCTGCACGCAGCTGGGCCTTGTGCCTGTCTTGCCTCACTTGCTCACTTCTTGACCTTGCTTGTACCTTGACTTATATATGCTCTTGCTCTTGCTTGCTTGACTCTTGTATATCTCTATATATAGTCTTGCATGTGAACTGGCCTTGTGGCCCTTGAACTTGTGCTCGGAATGTGTGGTGAATTTGTGATCCACCCTGAGCTTTGCTTTGTTTTGCTTGACTGGTCTTGTGACCCCTTGTTCTCCCCCACTTTGCCTATGGGGGTGTGTCAGAATATTATAGCTTACTTATTTGTGTAGGCTATAGTGGGGTATCCCATAGGGGGTACAACCCAACTAGGGTTTCCTATTTGTACTCACTTCATTCATAGTCATTTCATTCACGTTCCTTTCTTCACACTCTTCTGCGTCAGAGTTATCTCCATCCTCCTTGTACCGTTCTTCGGGCGCACCGGGTCGTGGGCGCACTCCATCGCCTCCCGGCCCTTCACTCCCCTGGACTTGAATCCGGACGGATGGTTCGTAGAGACCACCCTGAAACAAATCCTCCTCGGTCGCCTCAAACTCGCTATCGTTCTTGCGATCCTGTGCGTAGTCTTGGTCAGTATTTTCATCGACCTTCAGGTCTTCTTCTCCATCCTCTGCGCCCTAGGCTGCCATGGGGCGAGAGTGGACCGAGCTGTCGGCCATTCACAGATTCCTAATTTATTAGCTAGCAACCGAGACTAGACGAAAGAATCGGATGGTGTCAGCCGCGGTAGGTGGTAACGATTCGCAAGTGTGCAGATAACATAGGCAGAATGTGTCAGAATATTATAGCTTACTCATTTATGTAGGCTATAGTGGGGTATCCCATAGGGGGTACAACCCAGTTAGGGTTTCCTATTTGTACTCACTTCGTTCATAGTTCACTCATTCTCTCGTTCACTTCTTATCATGGAATCAGAGCAGGTTCCCCTGCGGGAACTGTGCTTTGGGCCCACCACCTAGAACTTTTTTTTCTGCCCTGGCGCCCGCCCTAGCGCCCGCCCTAGCGCCCGCCCTAGCGCCCGCCCTTTCGAGCCGCCCGTTAGCGCCGCCCGTTAGCGCCGCCCGTTAGCGCCGCCCGTGCGGCTGCCCGTTCGCGCCGCCCTTTGCGCAGCCAGTAGCGCCGCCCGTGCGGCCGCCCGTTAGCGCCGCCCGTGCGGCCGCCCGTAGCGCCGCCCGTGAGCCGCCGCCCGTAGCGCCGCCCGTGAGCCGCCGCCCGTCGCGCCACCCGTTAGCGCCGCCCGTGCGCCGCCGCCCGTGAACGCCGCCCGTGACGCAGCCGCCCGTGAGCCGCCGCCCGTGACGCCGCCGCCCGTGACGCCGCCGCCCGTCACGTCGCCCCCCCCCGTGACGCCGCCGCCCGTCCCGCCGCCCGCCCGTCACGCCGCCCGCCCGTGACGCTGCCGCCCGTCACGCCGCCCGCCCGTGAGCCGGCGCTGCCCGCGAACCGCCCACCCGTGGGCCTTCAGCCCGCCCGTGAGCAGCCGACGCCGCCGACGCCGCCCGTGAGCCGCCGACGCCGCCGACGCCGCCCGTGAGCCGCCGACGCCGCCCGTGAGCCGCCGACGCCGCTGCCGCTGCCGCCGCCCGTGAGCTGCCGACGCCGCCGCCGCCGCCCGTGAGCCGCCCTGGCCGCCCGCCCAGCCGCCCGTGAGCTCCCCGCGCGCCGTCCCAGCCGCCCGTGAGCCGCCACCGAGCCGCCCCAGCCGCCCGTGCCGCCGCCCGAGCCGCCTGAGCCGCCCGAGCCGCCCGGGCCGCCCGCGCCGCCCTAGCCACCCGAGCCGCCCGAGCCGCCCGAGCCGCCCGAGCCGCCCGAGCTGCCCGAGCCGCCAGAGGAGCTGCACTCCTGCTCCTGTCGGGCTACTGCTGCTCCTGGGCTGTGTACCTGCGCCGCTGACCTACCCGACTCTTCCTGCCCGGTGAGACTGTCAGCTGCTGTCATGGCCACCCCCAATGTCCTAGCTTTTGACGCTGAGGGTAGAGCCATTGACTTTGCAGTCTGGATTGAAGACCTGCAGCTGTACTTACTGTGTGATGCGATCGATGAGGTCTCTCTCTTTGACTTTGTCTCTGGCGCTGTCCCTGCCCCTCCTACTGATGCTGATTCCGCCGTTCGCTCCAAGTGGGCAACCCGCGATGCTGCTGCACGTCTCGCTGTGCGTCGCCACCTCCCTTCCTCCGAGCGTGCCCACTTTAGTCAGTGCAAGACCGCTCAGGCCTTGTACGACGCTGTAGTTGCACGCTACTCCTCCCCTTCCTCTGCTACGCTGAGCCGCCTCATGCTACCTTTTCTCTTCCCTGACCTCGCTGCCTTTCCCACTGTCGCTGACCTCATTACCCACCTCCGCGCTAGAAACGCTCGCTACCGCGCTGCCCTTCCTGCTGAGTTCCGCGACGCCAACCCTCCTCCCATGTACATCACTCTCTACTTTCTTGTCACCCGTCTTCCTGAGTCCCTTCGTGTCGTTAGGGACCAGTTTCTCTCTGTCTGTCCCACCACCCTCACTGTCGACCTCCTTGAGGAGTCCCTGCTAGCGGCTGAGAAGAGCATCGTCGCTGTAGGGGCCTCTCGGGGTGACCCTCGCACCCCCATCTTTGAGGGGTGTTCTCCTTCCCCCCTGCTGCCCTCTGTCGCCTCTGCCGCTGCGGCCGACCTCGCTGGTTTTGAGCCGGTCGGTGCGGCGTCTGCCCCCAGTGGTAGACGCCGCTCTGGCAAGGGCAAGGGGGGCAAGGGAGCGGGTGGAGCTAGAGGAGGCAGTGGCGGAGGAGGTGGGGGTGGCGGGGGGAGTGGGGGTGGCGGTGGAGGTGGTGGCGGGAGTGGAGGTACTGGTGGAGGCGGTGGAGGCGGAGGTGGCGGCGGAGGCGGTAGCGGAGGAGGCGGGGGCGAGGGTACCGGTGGGGGCGGTGGCGGTGGAGACGGGGGCGGTGGTGGAGGCGGGAGTGGCGGTGGCTGCGGGGGTCGGAGTGGCTCGTCCCAGCGGAGCAGCTCTGGGGGTGGTCAGCGCCAGCAGCAGCAGCAGCAGCAGCAGCAGCAGCAGCGCTCTCGCACCGTCCCCGCCCCTCAGCAGCTCTATGAGTGGTACTTGCAGCGTCAGCGTGGTGGTGCGTTTGGTCCCTGCCCCTACGTTCTTCGCACCGGCGACCGTGCGGGGGAGAGGTGTGGAGGCACCCACACAGCCCGCCGCTGCTTTGGCCGCCTGACCGACGCCTGGCGTCAGCAGTTTCCGGAGGCCGCTGAGATCCCCCGCTGGGGGGAGCTGTCTAGGGCTGGTGTAGCCATTTATGATCTTGACTTTGATGCTATTCTTTCTGCTATGTATGCTGTGACTGGTAGTGATGAGGATGACTGTTACCGGTGTTTCCCGCCCGACCCGGGCATTGGTACTGCTGCGTCAGGTACTAGTGAGGCTGCTGCTCTAGGTGCCAGTGCGTCTGTGCTCTCAGGTACTGGTGAGTCTGCCCTCTCAGGTACTGTGTCGGCTTCGGCCTCTCACACCTTCACACTTGACTCTGGAGCGTCTCGCTCCTTCTTTCGGGACCGCACTACTCTCACGCCGCTGAGTCGGCCGGTTGCGGTGTCCCTGGCTGACCCCTCTGGGGGGCCTGTCCTGTCTCGCTTCTCCACGTTACTTCCGTGTCCGGCGGCCCCCTCTGGCACCCTGTCTGGTCTCTACCTCCCCTCGTTCTCTACGAACCTGGTGAGTGGTGCTGACCTACAGGATGTGGGGGTCCACCAGTTCACTCCTGCTAGTCAGCGGGTGACACACTGCACAGAGGCTAGCACAGATCGCCACCTGGCTACGTTTACACGTCAGCCAGGGTCGAGCCTGTACACACTGACCACTGCTTCTCCTCCCGGTGCTGAGTCTGGTAGAGTCCCTTTGTCTGGTCAGGTGTTTGCTGCAGCGTCCAGGTCTGGTCCTGAGTCTGCCCCCTGTTCGTGTCGCCGTCTGTCTCACGAGACTCTCCTCTGACACCACCGCCTTGGCCACCCCTCTCTGCTTCGGCTCAGAGGCATGGCCTCCCGTCTTCTTGTGTCTGGTCTCCCCCGGTCTCTACCTCCCCTTCCTGAGGGCCCTGGCCCTGCCTGTGTCCCCTGTGTCGAGGGGCGCCAGCGTGCTGCCCCTCACTCCTCCCAGTTTCCTCCGACAGAGGCCACGCTGCAGACGCTTCACATGGACGTGTGGGGCCCAGCCCGCGTCCGTGGACAGGGTCAGGAGCGCTACTTCCTGCTCGTTGTTGACGACTACTCGCGTTACACCACAGTCTTCCCCTTGCGCAGCAAGGGTGAGGTTACTGAGGTACTGATCGACTGGATCCGCGCAGCTCGTCTTCAGCTCAGGCAGAGCTTTGGCTCCGACTTTCCTGTGTTGCGTCTGCACTCTGACAGAGGCGGAGAGTTCTCCTCTGGCCTTCTGCGTGCCTACTGTTGGGCGCGAGGCATCCACCAGTCCTTCACGCTTCCGGACTCCCCGCAGAAAAATGGGATTGCTGAGCGCCGCATTGGCATGGTCATGGACGTCGCCCGTACGTCCATGATGCATGCGGCTGCCCCCCATTTTCTGTGGCCGTTTGCGGTCAGGTACGCAGCGCATCAGATCAACCTCCACCCCAGGGTCTCCAGGCCGGAGACCTCCCCAGCCCTGCTGTGGACGGGGAAGGTTGGCGATGCGTCGGCGTTCCGGGTCTGGGGATCTCGGGCGTTTGTCCGCGACTTGTCTGCGGACAAGCTATCCCCTCGCGCTGCTCCCTGCGTCTTCCTAGGGTTCCCCCCCGACGCCCCCGGGTGGCAGTTCTACCACCCCTCCTCTCGACGTGTTCTGTCCTCCCAGGACGTCACGTTTGACAAGTCGGTACCCTACTACCGCCTCTTCCCCTACCGCACTCCGTCCCTCCCCCCACCCCTGCTCTTCTTGGTACCAGGTCCCCCCCCGGTAGTCCCCCTCCCCCCTCAGGGTCCTGCCCCTTCAGGTGTGTCCCAGGTAGACGCGGTCGAGCCTGTCGAGGTCACTGGTGACTCTGGTGCTGCTGCGGGAGCTGAGCCTGGGGGTGCGGAGTCTGGGGGTGCTGAGCCTGGGGGTGCTGAGCCTGGAGGTGCTGAGCCTGGGGGTGCTGTGCCTGGGGGTGCTGAGCCTGGAGGTGCCGAGCCTGGGGGTGCTGTGCCTGGGAGTGGTGTGCCGAGGGGTGCTGAGCCTGGGGGTGCTGAGCCTGGGGGTGCTTCGTCTCGCCGGGAGCCACTCTCCCCACAGGAGCTGCGTGAGTGGTTTGCCAGGCGCTGGAGGCGTGCTGCTGGTGCTGGTGGTTCTTCGGCTGCAGAGGGTACTGCTGCCGCGCGTCCCGGCGGTGCTCGTCCTGTGGGTGCTGGAGCTGCTGTGTCTGCGAGTTCTCCTGGAGCTGGTGCTGCTGAGGGTGTTGGCGCTGAGCCTGCCGCTGGCGGTCCGACTGACAGTGCTCCTGGTGCTGCTGCTGGAGGTTCTGGAGCTTCTGGTGGTGCTACTGGAGTGGGTGCTCCTGCCGGGGGTGCTGGTGCTGTTCCTGCTGTTTCTGGCGTCGCCGCGCGGCCCCGACCGTACTTCGTTCCGCTCCTGCAGCAGGTTCTTGGTCTTCCACCTCCTCCTCCTCCCTTAGAGGGTCCGCAGCCTGTCCGGTCACAGCCACAGCTACAGCCTGCCTCCCCTTTGCCTGCTCCTTCTCCCTACGCTGGTCCGACTGGAGGTCTTACGGAGCGTCGTGAGCCTGCGTCTCGTCCTGCGTCGCCTGTTCGTACTGAGCGCGCTAGTGGTCGCGGGTCGCGTCAGCGTCCTCCTCCTGTCCCTAGCACGCACCGGATGTCACTGCGTCCGTCCACTGCTCCTCTGCGTGCCCCTTTGCCTTCTCCTCCTGCTTCCTCTCTTCCTGCTCTTGCCGACCCGGAGTCGGACTCTCTTCGTGCTGCCAGTCCTACTGTCACGCGTCTCCTTGCTACTGCTGTCACTGACCCTTCCTTCGAGTCGTCTGCTGCGTCTGCCCTTGTCACTGAGCTTGTCGACTTTGCTGCGCGCTGTCGTCTAGACTACGCTGCCAGTCTTGTCGCTGAGTCTGAGTCTGCCTGTCCTCCGTCCGTCGGGGGTGAGTGTGCCCTCGGCACGGACGTCCTTGAGGACAGGCAGGAGGAGTTCCAGTGTCTGGCCGCCGCTTCACCCCATCTTGCGTCTGTACTGCTAGCCCCTGAGGGAGACCCGGATGCACTTGACATCCCGACTCCGCGCTCTTACGCGGAGGCGATAGAGGGTCCCTACTCCTCTCAGTGGCAGGCAGCTATGGATGCAGAGATGGCTTCCTGGAAGTCCACAGGCACCTACGTCGACGCTGTCCCCCCTCCTGGGGCGAACATCGTCAGTGGCATGTGGATTTTCAGGGTGAAGCGGCCGCCGGGTTCTCCGCCTGTCTTCAAGGCGCGTTACGTGGCTCGTGGCTTCAGTCAGCGGCAGGGGGTTGACTACTTTCAGACCTTCTCCCCCACCCCGAAGATGACCACTCTTCGGGTTCTGCTGCACGTTGCTGCTCACCGTGACTACGAGCTGCACTCTCTCGACTTCAGCACAGCTTTCTTGCAGGGCAGCCTGCACGAGGAGATCTGGCTGCGCCGCCCACCTGGCTTCACTGGGTCTTTCCCTCCTGGTACCCATTGGAGTCTCCGGCGTCCAGTCTACGGTCTCCGCCAGGCGCCACGTGAGTGGCACGACACACTGAGGACTACACTCGCGGCACTTGGGTTTGCTCCGTCTACTGCCGACCCGTCACTGTTTCTGCGCACCGACACCTCTCTGCCGCCGTTCTACATCCTCGTGTACGTCGACGACTTGGTCTTTGCCACAGCTGACACTGCTGAACTCGCCTACGTGAAGTCCGAGCTGCAGAAGAGACATACGTGCACTGACCTGGGTGAACTGCGTAGCTACCTTGGCTTGCAGATCACCCGGGACAGAGCGCGCCGCACCATTACCCTGACTCAGTCACACATGGTGCAGCAGGTCCTTCAGCGCTTCGGCTTCACGTACTCCTCGCCTCAGGCCACTCCTCTGCCTACTCGCCACTCGCTCTCAGCTCTGCCTTCGGATGAGTCCGTAGAGTCGAGTGGCCCGTACCCAGAGCTTGTTGGCTGCCTCATGTACCTGATGACCTGCACACGTCCTGACCTTGCATACCCTCTTAGCATTCTCGCACGCTATGTTGCTCCTGGGAGACACCGACTTGAGCACATGGCTGCAGCGAAGAGGGTGTTGCGCTACTTGTGCAGTACGTCGGGCATGGGGCTAGTGCTTGGAGGGCGCAGTCCAGTGGTCCTCACTGGGCACGCAGACGCTTCTTGGGCTGACGACCAGGCTACGCAGCGGTCGTCACAGGGTTACACCTTCAGCCTTGGTTCCGGCTCTGTTTCGTGGCGGGCTACTCGCTCGTCTTCTGTTCTCGGCTCCAGTTGTGAGGCTGAGATCTACGCTAGGGCTATGGCTGCACAGGAGTTACGCTGGCTCACCTACCTGCTGACCGACCTTGGAGAGCAGCCTCGTTCTCCTCCAGTCCTGTACGTAGACAACAAGGCCATGCTGGCCTTGTGTCGAGAGCAGCGATTGGAGCACAGAACGAAGCACATTGCCCTCCGCTACTTTCTTGCTCGTGAGCTGCAGCAGCGTGGACAGTTGCGACTTGCGTACGTGGCCTCTGAGGCCAACACTGCTGATGTCTTCATTAAGGCACTTGCGCCTTGTGATCATCAGCGTTGTTGCACGCAGTTGGGTCTTGTGTCTTTCTTGCCTCACTTGGTCACTTCTTGACCTTGCTTGTACCTTCACCTATATATACTCTTGCTCTTACTTGCTTGACTCTTGTATATCTTTATATATGATCTTGCATGTGAACTGGCCTTCTGGCCTTTTTGAACTTGTGCTCGGAATGTGTGGTGACTTTGTGATCCACCCTGAGCTTTGCTTTGCTTTGCTTGACTGGTCTTGTGACCCCTTGTTCTCCCCCACTTTGCCTATGGGGGTGTGTCAGAACATTATAGCTTACTCATTTATGTAGGCTATAGTGGGGTATCCCATAGGGGGTACAACCCAGTTAGGGTTTCCTATTTGTACTCACTTCGTTCATAGTTCACTCATTCTCTCGTTCACTTCTTATCAGAATGCTTAGTGGGCTAAGCGCAGAAGCCGTAAGAGAGTCTGTGCTTCAGACGTCTGCACATTGGTCTTCGAACACCGCCTACAACTTGCGTTTACATATATCTGCTCCTACAACTTGCGTATACAGGGTCGCCTGACTGTCCCGTACCGTATAGCTCTGTCACCCTTTGTTCTACCGCTTTAATTCTCTACAATGAAACAACGAAAATAAGTTCCTACCATTATACGGATATAATCATCTACGGAACCATTATGCTTGTATAGAACTTTTGTAGGTTCGACGATATTATGGATTGGGAGCGATTACTTTTACCGATAAAAAAAGCCTAACGTCGAAGATGTCCGGCTACAAGAGCGGGCGACCTACGACAATTGTTCCGGGCAAATACAAACAGTTCTACCGACAAAATATTATACCACACACATCTGCGCCTACATAAGCGACCTAACAAGTGCGACTGCAGTTATCCTAACCGGGCTGACCCAAAATAAAAAAACCCACTCTATACGACCTACGTCACTACGTCGAGGACGCAAATGTTCTGCCAGTGGGCCAAGCAGGCTAAAAGACTACGCTGGTGGACTAACAGGTGCTGGATGAAAAGATCTCAAAGAGCTTGTGGAGCATGAAATGCAAATGAAAAGGAGCAAATGAGCACGAAAACATCCATTCATACCCATCCACCACACACAGAAGCCCGTGTCCAGATCTGGTCATCCAACCCTGGGCTGGATGATTCTCCCGCCAAAAAAAAAAAAAAAAAAAAAAACTGGGAGAAAGTTCCGTACTCGACGCTTATTGGCTCTTGCAGCCTTGGGACTCTGACAACAACTGTTGCCATGGTCACGTGTGCAGAACACCTATTCTTGGTAAACAATTGTGAAAGAACAAGGAACGAGAGAAGAGGGGTTGCACGACGGGGCCGCTAGGGGCGGCGACGGGGCCGAGAAGGGGCCGCGAGGGGCCTGAAAGGTCGGCGACGGGGCCGATAGGGGCGGCGACGGGGCCGCGAAGGGGCCGCGAGGGGCCTGGAAGGGCGGCGACGGGCCGATAAGGGGCCGCGAGGGGCCTGAAAGGTCGGCGACAGGGCCGTTAGGGGCGGCGACGGGGCCGCGAAGGGGCCGCGAGGGGCCGAGAAGGGCGGCGACGGGGCCGCGAGGAGTGGCGATGGGGTCGCTAAGGGTCGCGCGAGTGGCCGTGAGAGGGGCCTCTGAGAGTGCTCGACACGAGGGCGGCCGACGGGAATAACAATTCCGTCGCACGCAACGGGGCGTGCAGCACACAGAGTAGCAGTGGAAGCAGTTAGGTGGGCCTACAGGCCAGGAGCGTAGATGCTCTGATACCATGTGAAAGAACAAGGAATGAGAGAAGAGAGGTTGCACTAGCAGCAGTTGGCATACATATAGGAAACCCTAATTGGGTTGTACTCGCTATAGAGTACCCCACTGCAGGCTAGACAATTATAACATTTTGACAACAATGACTATAAAATACAATGAGCAAACGCAGGATGCTACACTTGTGCTCATGTTATTCATAAAACACATAAGATCAATGGTATAAAGGAATACACATGCTGCAGCTTTAAGGTGGCAGAAAAAAAAAAACCGATTGGAAGCATATAACGACGCAGAGAAGACCAGTTGGTCGCAACCGGCCATGCTACCGGCGGTCGTCACTTGTCGGCCAAAGAGTTACGATGGCGAAAAATGTCTTTCGCGACAAGCATCACTGGCACAAAGGGTCACGGGCAGGTTGGTTGGAACACATTTTTCACGGTCAGGTGGGCGCGGAATTGTGAGTGGCTGGCCTTGTTGTATGCGGCGGAGCCTTGCGCCCAAGCCCTTCGGAATCCGGAGCACACGGATCCAAGGCCTCGGATCATGGGGCAAACGTTATCAGACTCCCTGTCCTTCCGCCTCACTCCTCACCTCACTCGGCGGCAATTCAAGAACCCACCGACACACCACCACTTCCTTGTGTGACACTAGTTGTCAGAACATATAGCTTACTTGTTTCTGTAGGCTATAGTGGGGTATCCCATAGGGGGTACAACCCAAATTAGGGTTTCCTATTTGTACTCACTTTGTTCATAGTCATTTCATTCTCGTTCATATCTTCTCATGGAATCAGAGCAGGTCCCTTCCTAGGGACTGTTCCTAGGGCCCACCGAAGCGCGCCCCGAGGCGCGCGTTTTTTTTTTTTTTTAGCGACCCTCCGTGTCGCCCTTACCGCCGTGCTCTCGCTTAGGCCCCTCGTCGGCCCCGCTTAGGCCCCTCGTCGGCCCCGCTTAGGCCCCTCGTCGGCCCCGCTTAGGCCCCTAGTCGGCCCCGCTTAGGCCTCGTCGGCCCCACTTAGGCCCTGTCGGCCCCGCTTAGGCCTCGTCGGCCCCGCTTACGCCCCGCTACGGCCCCGCGTCGGCCCCGCTTAGGCCCCGTCCGCCCGCCTAGGCCCCGCTACGGCCCCTCGTTGGCCCCGCCTAGACCCCGTCGGCCCGCCGTAGGCCCCGCTCCAGCCCGCCGTCGGCCCCGCCATAGCCCGCCGTCGGCCCCGCTACAGCCTGCCGTCGGCCCCTCTACAGCCCGCTGCCGGCCCCGCTACAGCCCGCTGTCGGCCCCGCCCCAGCCCGCCGTCGGTCCCGCTACAGCCCGCCGTCGGCCCCACTACAGCCCGCCGCCGGCCCCGCTACAGCCCGCCGCCGGCCCCGCTACAGCCCCGCTACGGCCCACCGTCGGCCCCGCCGCCCGTGCTGCAGCCCGCCGCGCCACCGTGCAGCCGCCCGCCGCGCCACCGTGCAGCCGCCCGTGCAGCCGCCCACCGTGCCGCCCGTGAGCAGCCCCAGCCGCCCGTGAGCCGCCCGTGCAGCCGCCCGCGCCGCCCGTGAGCCCCTGCGTCACCCGAGCCGCGCGAGCCGCCCGAGCCGCCCGAGCCGCCCGAGCCGCCCGAGCCGCCAGTGGAGCCGCACTCCTGCTCCTGTGGGGCCACTGCTGCTCCTGGGCTGTGTTACAGTGCCGCTGACCTACCCGACTTTTCCTACCCGGTGAGACTGTCAGCTGCTGTCATGGCCACCCCCACTGTCCTAGCTTTTGACGCTGAGGGTAGAGCCATTGACTTTGCAGTCTGGATTGAAGACCTGCAGCTGTACTTACTGTGTGATGCGATAGATGAGGTCTCTCTCTTTGACTTTGTCTCTGGAGCTGTCCCTGCCCCTCCTGCTGATGCTGACCCCGCCGTTCGCTCCAAGTGGGCGACCCGCGATGCTGCTGCACGTCTTGCTGTGCATCGCCACCTCCCTTCCTCCGAGCGTGCCCACTTTAGTCAGTGCAAGACCGCTCAGGCCTTGTACGACGCTGTAGTTGCACGCTACTCCTCCCCTTCCTCCGCTACGCTTAGCCGCCTCATGCTACCGTTTCTCTTCCCTGACCTCGCTGCCTTTCCCACTGTTGCTGACCTCGTTACCCACCTCCGCGCTAGTGACGCTCGCTACCGCGCTGCCCTTCCTGCTGAGTTCCGCGCCGCAAACCCTCCTCCCATGTACATCACTCTCTACTTTCTCGTCACTCGTCTCCCTGAGTCCCTTCGTGTAGTTAGGGACCAGTTTCTCTCTGTCTGTCCCACCACCCTCACTGTCGACCTCCTTGAGGAGTCCCTGCTAGCGGCTGAGAAGAGCATCGTCGCTGTAGGGGCCTCTCGGGGTGACCCTCGCATCCCCATTTTTGAGGGGTGTTCTCCTTCCCCCCTGCTGCCCTCTGTCGCCTCTGCCGCTGCGGCCGACCTCGTTGGTTTTGAGTCGGTCGGTGCGGCGTCTGCCCCCAGCGGTAGACGCCGCAATGGCAAGGGCAACGGGGGCAAGGGAGCGGATGGAGCTAGAGGGGGCGGTGGCGGGGGAGGTGGGGGTGGCGGGGGGAGTGGGGGTGGCGGTGGAGGTGGTGGCGGGAGTGGAGGTACTAGTGGAGGCGGTGGAGGCGGAGGTGGCGGCGGAGGAGGTAGCGGAGGAGGCGGGGGTGAGGGTGC